TGACGTAACCTTTATCTGTGTTTTTAATATAAACACATTTGTCACACTCATTAATTTTAAATCCATTTGACATCATTGCCTTGTCAAATTTCTCATGCCATTGCTTTGGCGCTTGTTTTAAACCATATAATGATTTAACCAATTTACACACTTTCTTTTCTTTCCCTGGAACAGAAAACCCTTCTGGTTGTTTCATGTAAATTTCTTCATTTAACTCACTATTTAAGAAAGCGGTTTTAACATCCATTTGATGAATTCTAGATTGTATAGAGGTGCAATGGCAATTAGCATTCTAATGGATGTTATTCTAGTAACCGGTGATTATGTGTCAAAGTAATCAAGACCTTCTTTTTGTCTAAATCCTTTGACCACAAGTCTTGCCTTGTATTTGTCAATTGATCCATCCGCTTTTAATTTTCTTTTGAAATACCCAAGAGGTTTACAACCTGGTGGCAAGTCCACTAATTCCCAAGTGTGATTTTGCAAGATGGATTCAACTTCACTATTGACAGCTTCTTTCCATAAAGGAGCTTCAGGACTGGACATAGCCTCCTTAAAAGTTTTAATTATTTACGAAAAGACTTATATAAAATAAATAGAGAGAATGCATTGATTTTTTGTGTTATTTTTTGGCTTTTTAGCTAATTTTCCTATTCGGCAACAAATTTAATCAAAATAGATAGGAGTTAACTTAATAGGTTGATAGAGTAATCTATTTTGTTTACTTATTGATGTGACATTTAAGGCATGTTTGATTAGTAGTATTATAATATAGGATTGAGATTGTTAGTTCATGGACTCACAATCCTATGTTTGATTGCAAATTTTATTAATCGGATTCAATCTAACAAAATTAGCAAATATTGAGAGAGGTTGGGGATCATAATTTTAAATATAAAATAAAATAAAATAAAATTCAATGAATACATAATAAATGGTTATGTCATGAATTTGATTGGATAACGAATCCTCACTAATTCATGGGATTATTAATCATTTTATTATTAATAGGGTTCAGGCACTGGACTGAGTTCTTTAGGCAGTGTAGTTAATCCAATGTAAAATTTTCATTGGTTGTTTCTTAGTACATGTTATAGAGTCCAGTAAATTACCAATATGATGTGCATAAATGCTTATCTTAAAGCAATGACGTGGGATGGAATGAAATTGTAAGGTTAATTATCTTAAATGCTTTACATATTATTAATAGGATTCATGAATTAATCTTCGTTATTATTTTTTAAATATATTATTTAAGGAGCTAAATTGAAATCTTTAGTTAGATCTTCAAATGAAATTAACAGTATTACGTTATTAAAGTGGTACTATTTCAGATTTTGAGTTTTATTTATTGCATAAAACACTTATTCATAAAAAAATGATAAGATTTAGTAGTTTGTAAAATTGGTAACATTGATAACATTCGAATTTGATTTACAAATAACATGCTATTAAATGTCATTAATTACACAATCAACCAATCATTAATTACTGTTTTATTCCACAAAGGAAGAATCTGGTAGAAATACTGTTTAGGTGAGCAAACAATGGGGAAAATAGAAACCTAGGCTTTGATTTTTCTTCAGTATTTCAATAATGTTTCAATAATATTTACTCTAATTTTTGGATATCTTTTGTTTCAACAATCTTTAATTTCCAGCATGTTTCAATTACCTTTTGTTTCAATAATAACCAAAATTTGAATTTAGAATTAAATTAAATTTCCACAATTACAAATTTTTAGGAAACCACTTAGGAACCCAAAATTTGAATTTAGAATTAAATTAAATTCCCACAATAATTTTTATTAAAAAAATTCAAATGAATTTTATCTAAATAAAAATTAATGTTAGACCTGAAAACGACGTTAACTTCCCATTCACACATAAATGGTTTTGACGTTCCGTCTTCACCGTGTGACTTGCCACGCGGCAAGGAACACGTCACCTCTTCGGACCCACCCCAAAAGACGTTTGGGGCCCACCCAAAATGGGCTCAAAATTATGCCTATATAAAACCATTTTCCAACAGGGACATAGTTCAAGTTTAGAGCCTTGCTCTCATTACGGAATTCAATGTGTAAAAGTGGTTGACCCTTCCAATGGCTCAACCAATTGTACTGACTGTTGGAAAGTGCATATGCTAAACACATATTCAGGCCTCGGATCCTTTGATAGTGAAATGAAGGCACAGTAAAAGATATTGAGGATCCTGCACTTTTGTTGCTGAACCAGCCTGGAACCTCTCTCCCTGGGAAAAATGTGCTGAATATAATACCAAGCTCATACAAGCCCTGCATCGTGCAACTCATAATTTCAACAATCCATTACTCTATATGAGCGGGACAGAGAGAGAGAACACCTGGATGGGGCGTTTCACTAGATTCAATAATGTGCCATTTACAAAGTTCACCTTAATGTTGGTCAGTAATGCGCAATTTATAAAGTTCACTTCAATGTTGGCCATGGACTCCAAGTTGAAATCACCCAAGTTTTTGATCATTTCAGTTTCAACCTTTCCTATGGGTTGCAACTTGAATAAACCTTGAATCTCAACTAGTTTAGTACATTCAGTATGTTCAAGTAGTTGTGAGTCAAACATATTTGATTGATACATTATTTTTTCCAGTGATGTGCAACGCCCCACGAACAATTTTTCCACACTTGGTAGGCCTAGCAGCGATTGGAGCCTTGTACATGAATTTAAACGAAGTGTCCAAAGCCCAGTTAGACCTTTGATCCAATCTGATAGACTGCAAATTGGATTTTTGCTCAGATTCAAGTTTTGCAACACCGGCAGGTTACTAAAATCCCTGGGAAAAACATCATTAGATAAATTGTAGTCCACAAGACTTAGACTTACTAAAAACCGAGGTAAAGAAATCCATGAAATTTCTGATGTTTTTCTTGGTGTTGAAACTGAAGGCCAGACTGATGCATGCCATGGCTTGACCTCATCAATTGTAGAGAGTAGTTGAATTAAAGCAATTCCATCAACATGAAGTGCTTTTAGGGATTCCATCTTCCCCATATCTGGTGGCAACTTTTCAAGTTTTGAGCAACCAGAAATAATAAGCTTTTCAAGAGATTTTACCATTGTAATGTTTCTTGGAAGCTTCCTCAGATTTTTGCAATCTTTTGCATTCAAGAGAGCAAGTCTCTCTAGGTTGCCAATTGATTCATGAATCTTAAAAAGACTAGTACAATCTTTAAGAATTAATCTCTCCAAATTGGGGAGTAATGAGAAGTTAGGAGTTTTGGCAAGGCTGTGAGAATGGCTAAGATTAAGGGTTTTTAATAGTCCAAGAAACTGCAAAAGAGAGACAAAAAGGTGTTCCCATCATTTAATCACCAAAAACAATAAATGGATGGGTTAAAAAAAAAAAAGAAAAAAAAGAAAGAAAGAAAGAAAGAAGAAAAGAAAGAAAATGTAATACCTTGGTTCCATTCCAAACTCGCTTCAAGCTGCTGTAACGCAAGTCAAGTGCAACCAAGCTCTCCAAAGGAAAATCTATAGGAAGGAATTTTGAAGGGAATCCACAACAACACAACCATCTTAATCCTTTAGGAAATTCCCCATAGTTTCCACTAAGTTGTACATAATTAAGTTGGAGTAGTCTTAATTTGTGCATTCTTGCAAATGCATCAGTTTTTAAGTCTAACTTGTTTGAATTTTTAAGCTCCGTGCCTGTTGGGTAAGAAGAGAGGAAGCCAAAACAATGCTGCTTCAGTGAATTTCTTTGCTCTGACAACGATTTGTCAAGAAAGTACTCTTTGAAGTGGTGATGCTTTGAATTATAAGCACTAATGAGTGACCTGGCAGATTTGGTTTCCATTAACATATGCACGTCAAGGACAAGGCCTTCTACTGTTTCAGTGCCCTGTTGAGGTAAGAAAAATGAAAATACCATGGATAAGTATCGACCAGGAATGTGGAAAAGAAACCACATACATAAGAAGCATGTTACTTACAGTTTTTTCTCTCAACACATTGAAGGAATCCTTATGATGCCATAATCTGCTACGTTTCCCAGGCTCTTTGGGTGATTCTTGGCGAATAATTTCTCTTCCCATGTCTTGAAGTAGTTGACTCATCATCATCTTGTTATTTTTATCAATTGTAACAAGACATCTATCAATGAGATTTTGAATCCCAGATGTTGTGTAGAAATCACATTCATCTAGCATTCTAACTGAGAAATCTTTGTCCTTTCCGACAAAGAAGCAAGCAATATGCAAGAACAAATTTTTATCATGATCATCTTGTAAGGAATCGTAGCTTATTTTGAGTTTATTCACAATTTGGCTTTCAGGGATTGTTTTCAACTTCTCTAATGCACTTTCCCACACGTCTACACTTTTCCCAGATAGAGATGAGCCCAAAACTTGAAGAGCTAGCGGAAGTCCTCCACAGTATTGCACCACCCTTTTTGAGTGCTCCATAAAAACTTTAATAGGATGGTTTTGTCCAAAAGCATGCCAACTGAAGAGCTCACATGATTCATCTTCATCCAATTTCTCAACATTATGCACCTCATGATCTTTGTGAGGCTGCAACAGCCTCTCATGTCTAGTTGTAATGATGACTTTACTTCCAGGATGAAACCAATCACGAATTCCAATTAGTGCATCTAATTGGTCAACTTGATCTACATCATCAAGAACGACAAGAGATCTTTTACAGGACACAACATCCTTGATCTTAATAATTCCTTCATCAACACTATGTATGTTTTCTTTTTTCCTCTTTAAAATGTCTGAAAGAAGTTGTCTTTGTAAACGAACTAACCCATTGGGTTGTTCTGAAACTTCTCTGATATTTGCAAGAAAGCTGCTACCTTCAAATCTTCTATAGTTTAAATTGTACACAAATTTTGCAATGGTTGTCTTCCCTATTCCTCCCATCCCACAAATTACTAGCACACCAACATCTGTTGACTCATCTTGTAACCACAAATTAATGCTTGTGACTCGAGAATCCATTCCAATTAGGCAAGGTGCAACACTTAAGATCTTGCGGTTTAGCTTATCCTCAATCACCTTAACAATTTTCTGGATAAACTTTGATTCGTGCCTAAAAATAGCAATGAAAATGGTAAATAGATCACAATAAGCATACAATGACTAGAGGTTAATTAAACTGCAGTATTGCAAATTTCTAACAAGTGACAGTTAATTCATTGTTCGGGCAATGGATGGATATAAAATTGAAAACATTACATGGTTAAACTATGCTAAATAAAAAGTAACACATTCCAAAAAGATCTAACCAATCGTCTAACATGAAATATATAATATATCCATTTGAATAAGTGATTTAATGACAAGTGCTTTTTAATTTTGTGGTGCTAATAATATATATATTTTTTCGATAAATAAACAAACTTTATTAAAATAACATCAAGGCGATGCAAAGAATACAAAAATGATTAACCCACAAAAGCCCAATATCTAACTAATTAAATCATGCACAAAATCTACAAAAGCCAACATATCCAGATCCACCAAAACCATCACCCAACTATGTAACATAGTAAGTAGCCTACTATCCAACCACGGAACCGAATGAGGCACACCCTGAAAAGTATGCATGTTTCGCTCCAACCAAATCAACCACATTAAAACTGAGCAACAAGCAACCACACCTTCCCACGAATTTTCCCAACCTTCACCCCACCCCAATTCTACAACACCTCCACCATCGTGTTTGGTTGTACCCAAACCAAACCAAAAGTCACAACAATAAGCATCCAAAGCTGTGACGCAACCGAACAATGAATGGTGCTAATAATATTTGCCTTCTCCATTTATGTCTTATAAACACCATGAACTTCAAAAGTTTTTTGAAATTTCTAACTATTCACCTTTGTAACTAGAATTCGAGTTATTTCTTTTAAGAACATAAAAATACCGTATGGAAGCCATTAAAACTCCTCCGAAAATCTTCTTTGACTTTGAATAGTTTATTCTTACAAGAGCTTAATTAAACGGCCTCTACCTACCTAACAGGTGCCCTCCTCACAAATTCCTACAGTTATTGCCACCCACTTATATACTCCTACTAGTAAGTGCTTTTAGGTTTTTTCTCTTGCATAACAGTTTGCTTCAATATGCTTCCTGTAGCCGTTATTTGCTTTAAAACATGTTGGGTTATGGCCAGAGAAAAAACAAATAGTGATTCTTGATTGCTTCTCAAAATACTTTCAAAAAGCACAATGAAATATTATGAAATCTAAGTCTGTGTTTGGTTCATGGATTTCACCCACCCTTTTCCTTTCCCTTTCCAAATCCCTACCCAAATTCTCGAACCAAACACAGCCTAAAGGAATTTGGAGAAGAATTACCCATCAGCTTGATTTGGCAAAACCATCCCTCCCAAATCCGCAACTTCTCTAAGTGCTGCCCTCCATTGTTTCACCTTCTTCATCCATTCAGTTTTTCTTTCATTACCTTCTGCCTCTATTTGCTCATGCCTCACAAAATCCTCTGCAAGACCTCCTGTCTGGTTCTTGACCTCAGCCGGATCCACATCATAAAAGATTGGTAGAACTATATGTTTAGAGGTCCTTTTGAATTCAAGGATCATCAAAAGTTCGTCAAGACACCATCTGGAAGATGCATAATCTTTTGAGAAGACAATTACTGAAATCCTTGATAGCCAAATTGCTTTCTGCAATTCTAACTTAATTTTTTCTCCTCTTTCTATATCTTCATTATCTTTGAATGTGCGAATTCCTGCCTGCACCAGAGCTGTATAGAGGTGATCAGTGAAGGCCTTTCGAGTGTCTTTTCCTCTGAAACTCAAGAACACATGATAAGTACAACGAGAAATGGATGTGTCTACTTGAGCTTTCATGGTAGCCCCAGAACGAAGTGTTTATAGATTGTTAATGATTGGTGAATAAATGTAATATCTTTCAAGGCACATGGATTCTTGTAATTATACCATATATATAAAATAAAGGGTTAATAGAATCAGAGTCAATGGAAGCGGTAAAAATACCAGAAAACAGCAAGGAAAATACTCTTGTAACCAGTTGATTAACAAACACACATGTTTGCAGAAATTTGGATAACAAGCCAACCATGTTTACAAGTGTCTTAAAACACCAAAACATAATTGTGAGTCTGTGACTGTAGGAACAAGTACTCTATATCTCTAGATATATTTTATATAAATATACATATATTCTGCAGTTTCTTTCTGGGAGTTCTTGTTAACTGTTAAAAACTATAAATCTTGAATCAAATTTGTCTAGAGTTGGAAGAACAGCTGGCAGAAAATGACCAACAAGTCTTCCTTAGTTTAACACCATAAGCAAGAACTACAAGTATATTCTGCAGTTTCTTTCAGATATTTCTTGTTAACTGTCAAAAACTATAAATCCATACACTCTTATATAATCAAGAGTATTTAGTTATACTTGCTATATATTGACCCCTAAAGTAAGTAAAATTGGTTTGATCCCCTCAGAATCTCAATAATTTTATCTTACCCCTTGAAATCTCTTCCTAATTTCTTACTTATCCCAGTATTTCCCAATTGCTCTTTATAATTGGATATAACCATGTCTTATATCATCCTAAACATTCACCCTCTACGTGTTTTAATACTTTTTATTTGTACATTTTAAAGTGACTACTACAGAGAATATACATTTATGTCTATTTTTTAAGAAATTGATAAAAAATATTCCCAGGGTAAGCCCCTCATCAACTTAAGAACAAACATTCATTTTATGTTATTGTTGTTTAGCAACTAAGGTTTTAAAAAGCAGTCGCAACCGTTACGTAAAGCCGTTACGTAACGGTTGTGGTGGTTATCACCACCCATTACGGCCGCTATAGCAGTGTGACAGAAATTCACATGTGTAACAGCCGTTTCGGTATTACGTAATGGCCGTAGCGGTACCGTAACGGTCCGTTAAACACCGCCACACCATTTTACAATATTCTAAATAGCTTCTTTTTTCAAAAAAAAAACACACAAAAAAAAAAAAAAAACACACAAAAACAAAAACAAAAGTTTATAAAAAAAAAGAACAAATACTCAAGTGATCCAAGTCCAAAAAAAAAAATCATATTTGAATTTTTTTCTTTATAAATTTTTTTTAATTTATGGCACAATTTTTATTTTATAATCCTTTCATTTAATAATTGTGAATATGTTTTTATTCAGTTAATTCAGGTATTGGTAAAAAATAATTTATAGACATTTAAAATCAATTATTTTTAAAATTATTAACTATTGAAATAAAATATAAAAAGCTCATTTTATAGTGATTTGAAAATATGAAATATATTAGATCATACTTAAAAAGTAACAAAAATTGATCAAAATATATTTAAAACCCCAATAAATGTGATTCTGAAGAAAAAAAATATGCGTATCAGTAAAATTTTTTCAAATTGTGAGAAAAAAAAAAAAAAACAAAACACGGTTTTGGTTACCACAACCGTTATGCTACGGTGTTTACACCCCGCAACCGCTACCGCGTCACTGCAACCATTACGGCGACTGCAATCACTGTTCAAAGCCTTGCCCATTAGATGTTTCATTAATATTTATAATTAGGACTTTTCAAAATAAAAAATTAAAAATTAAAAAAATTGTATTTCTTAAGAGCATAGGAATACCCCAAGTTAGTGTATTTGTATTATTATTATTATTATTATTATTATTAATAGCATAGGAATACCTCATGTTTCATTAATATTTATAAAAATTGTATTATTATTATTATTATTAATAATATTATTATATTCTTCCTCCCTCACGATGATGCTCCCACGACTCGAACTCATGATAACTTCGCTTTGATCACTTCCTGGTCCAAGTTCCACAATCTTTCCTAAAACCAATTGGTGATAGGAAGGCCTTCACTTATGTCTTTTATGACATTCAACATTGCGCCTTGCAATCCTATTTTTAGAGCAATCGCAGGGAGTGGCATTATGTGCTAACATAGTCCTTAAAGTTTCTAATTTCGGCTCATATGATCCCAGTTTGAGAGGATCGTCCAAACCATTAACGGTTATAGTCTAATTTGTTGCGCAAAAAGATTATTTCAAAATCTAAACAATTTAAATCATAAAATTAAATAGCCAACTTCTTACTCTCACACTGAATTAGATTTTTCACACCCTCAACCCCTCATTTCAAAGTATCTTTGTGCCCATTGAGTTAGGTTTTCAGCATTCTTTGGACTATCTCTAATTACCTTTTTTTTTTATAACTCGGTATCCGACGAATGGACCAACTCATTCAGGGACCAATCCCACCGTCTACTAGTGGGGAGCCCAATTAAAGCCAGACAAAGCTCAGTATGAGACCATGGAGGGAGCAACCCAACCCAAGGCCTTGAGCATCCAGGTTGGGGTTTTGTCTCCATTACCATATTAACACTAAATAAATGAACTGATAGTGTATTTAGGAGGTGAAATAGGAAAAATTTTAAAAATAAAAGTGAAATTAACCCCTTTTTTTGGGGGGGGTGTCAGACTGATGTGTGCACATAGCAACTGATCAAAGTCAGTATCGTTAAATTTGTTTTGCATCAATGTACAAATATACAGGATATATACAAGTTCACTGAACCATCTCCAATCCTTAACACTTTTATTATTTATTTATTACTTATATCAAATTTAAATTTGACCAAAAGTGTTAAAAAATACATCTCTAATCCATTCATCAAATGTTCATCAAATCAGGAGAGTGACATTTTTTTCATCAAAATGAGAACTCATCAAACACTTCATCAAGTTAGAATTTTATGAGAATTAAAAAAGATGAAGCATAATTTGGAATAATAGGGAAATTTTTAAAAAGATGAAAGAGTTGAAATAATTCATGTAAAATAAAAAATTTTATTCAAATTTGAAATTAAACTAGATAAAATAAAAATAAAAATAAAAAGTTTGATGAAGGTGTTGAGAAGCAAAACACAAACAAAAACCAAGGAAACTAACTAATTTAGGGGATACAAGAACATTGAACTTCTGGAGTGATAAAATAGAGAAGTAGCAAGGAAAACCATCTGTGCTGAAATTTCCCAATAGCAGTCCTATCATTGCCATATTATATATATATATATATATAGTAGCCTTAGGGGCTCATATGTGAGCCAATGTAAACTCTGATTCAGGATTCAGAAATCAGCATCACATCTCTTCAAGTTTTTCACTATGTGTGCACTAAAATGAATTACTTTGCAGAAAATTCTATTTACACATCATAAATTTTCTCTATAGTGATTCTGGTTTAAACCCGACCCATTCATTGTTTTGAATCCTGGTTTTCTTGTCCTAATGGTTATTCATGTCTTCTTTTATCTTATTCCTTGTTGAGTTTGGTTATTGGAGTGTCTTGGTTGTGTTTGAAACAGGTTGGGAGTTAGTTTTTCAAAATTATGCTGGCCAGAATTTGGCTTGTTCGCTTGAGCGAACTTTCTTGCGCTCGAGCGAACTTTAAGAATTTCCAGTACATTTGTAGATCTGCAAAACTACTGGAAGGGTGGTGCTTTTCACTTGAGCAGTCACTTTATTCACTCGAGTAGTCTCACTTTTTGTGTTTGGTCGCTCGAGCGACCATTCCTGCACTCGAGCGGTCTCACTTTTTGTATCTGGTCGCTCAAGCGACCATTTCTGCACTCGAGCGGTCTGTGCGCATATTAAATCCGAAAAGTCATTTTTTGAGTCACTTTTTCACATCTCTCTCTCTCTCTCTAAACACTTCAAAATCTCATATCTTCTCTCTCTCTCTAGTTCTTGAACACTTGACCCAAATACACCTTGATCCATTAACCTCTACACCCTAGTCCCTTTGATAAAAAGAGAGAGCACGTCGAGGGTTTCATTCTAATCAGAGAAGTTCATGTTTTCAGCTTCATCGAGTTCTACCCATCTTTCCTTTGACTCTTCTTCTTTGAGGTAGGGATTACTTTGACATTTTTGTGTGGTTTTTAACTTAGTTATTTGTTTTTCTAAACAAGATTGTAATTTGGGAATTTTTGGATAAAATCTAAGGTTTTGGCTTTGAAATCAAAAGAAGGGTTTTCAAAATGGTTTTCTTGTAAATGATTGTGGGATTGTAGATATGGCTGAGTTATGATAAAATGGTGGATTTCTATCCTTAAAATTGATTTTTCAAAAAAAAAGGATTTTGCCTTAAAATGTGAATGTGTTGGGTTTTGTAAAGGGAAATGGAATTGATGTTGGTTTCATAGAATTGGAAAGATGATGATGATGATGGTGGAGTTAAATATGAATTATCACTCCTATTTAGAAATGTTGGAAAGTATATTTGTGTTGAAAATTAATTATCTATTTAGAAATATTTGTTTTGGGCTATCGGTAGAGGATAATTATGACTGTTGTAGAAATTACATGAGAATTAGGTAAATTGAAACTAATTTCTCATCCATTCGCACTAAGCATTGTAACATATTTAACACATTGAAAATGATTATTGTTTTGAGGAAAAGAGGTGAATACCTTGGTGAATCTTGGTAAGGAGTGTAGTTGTGGTACTAAGTTGGCCTGTGTGTCCTTAGTGAAAGTCCAGAAACCCGCGCGGATAGGTGCCGAGCCTTCAGGTTAATACCAATAAAAATGGCAATTGGTAGTGCTTATAGCCTACTTGCAGACACATCCTAGAGATTCCCCAGTGTTATATCCACTACCCTGTCTTCATTGTAAAATAAATAATTTCATGAATTGTACTATAAACTTGGCATAGCATGGTTTTGGAAAGAAATATAAAATGTTTTGATACAAGCATTGCATATGCATTCACTTTATAACTCTATTAAGATTCATACACTGTGTTAGAGTATCATTACTGGGTTTTGGCTC